CTTCCTTCCCTCTTTCCTTCCTTCCTTCCTTCTCTCCCTCCCTCGTTCCTTCCCTTCCTCCTTCCTTCTCTCCCTCCCTCCTTTTTCCTTCCTTCCTTCCTTCTCTCCCTCCCTTCCTTCCTTCCTTCCCTCCCTCCCTCCCTCCTTCTTTCCTTCCTTCCCTCCCTCCCTCCCTTCCTTCCCTCCCTCCCTTCCTTCCCTCCCTTCCTCCCTTCCTTCCTTCCCTCCCTCCCTCCTTCCTTCCTTTCTTCTCTCCTTCCTTCCTTCCTTCCTTCTTCCTTCCTTCCTTTTCTCCTTCCTTCTTTCCTTCTCTCCCTCCCTCCCTTCCTTCCCTTCCTCCTTCCCTCCTTCCTTCCTTCTCTCCCTCCCTCCCCCTCCATCCTTCCTTCCTTCCTTTCCCTTCCGTCCTTCCTTCCTTCCCTTCCTTCTCTCCCTCCTCGTTCCGTCCCTCCCTCCTTCCTTCCCTTCCTCCTTCCCTCCTTCCTTCTCTCCCTCCCTCCCACCTTCTTTCTCTCCTTCCTTCCTTCTCTCCCTCCCTCCCTCCTTTTTCCTTCCTTCCTTCTCTCCCTCCTTCCTTACTTCCTTCTCTCCTTCCTTCTTTCCTTCCTTCCCTCCCTCCTTCCTTCCTTCTCTCCCTCCTTCCTCTCCTTCCTTCCTTCCTTCCTTCCTTCCCTCCCTCCCTCCCTCCCTCCTTCCTTCTCTCCCTCCTTCCTTCCTTCCTTCCTTCCTTCCTTCCTCCTTCCTTCCTTCCTTCTTTCCTTCTCTCCTTCCCTCCCTCCCTCCCTCCCTCCCTCCCTCCCTCCCTCCCTTCCTTCCTTCCTTCCTTCCTTCCTTCCTTCCTTCCTTCCCGAACGCCAAAGGAGTGCAACTGCAGTGCCGGCTGACTTAGCTTTGAACCTGGAGCTCATTCCTGCCGGGCATTTTCCATTCAAGGAGTTGCGCTGCTCTGACTCAGCTCCAGTCGGCCCCCCTCCCCCCCTCCCCGTGACCACCCCCTGAAAGCTGAAGGCCCTCTCCCTCTCTGTAAACTCTCCCCACCCCTGAAGCTGGGTGTTTATTTAAAGATGTCCATGTGAGTGTAGAAGAAAAGGGGGAAAGATACCTGAAATAAAAAAACCCCAATAATGAGCAGCGGGTTGAAGTAGAAGACCTCCAAGATCCCTTCCAGCTCTGCTCTCTTCTGCTCTGTTCTGTTCTGCTCTACTCTATATTCTACATTCTACATTCTACATTCTATTCTATTCTATATTCCATTCTATATTCCATTCTATTTTCTCTTCTCTTCTCTTCTCTTCTCTTCTCTTCTCTTCTCTTCTCTTCTCTTCTCTTCTCTTCTCTTCTCTTCTCTTCTATTCCATTCCATTCCATTCTATATTCTATTCTATTCTATTCTATTCTATTCTATTCTATTCTATTCTATTCTATATTCCATTCTATATTCCATTCTATTTTCTCTTCTCTTCTCTTCTCTTCTATTCCATTCCATTCTATATTCCATTCTATATTCCATTCTATATTCCATTCTATATTCTATTCTATTCTCTTCTATTCTATTCCATTCCATTCTATATTCCATTCTATATTCCATTCTATTTTCTATTCTATTCTATTCTATTCTATTCTATTCTATTCTATTCTATTCTATTCTATTCTATTCTATTCTATATTCCATTTTATATTCCCTTCTATTTTCTATTCTATCCTATCCTATCCTATCCTATCCTATCCTATCCTATCCTATCCTATCCTATCCTATCCTATCCTATCCTATCCTATTCTTCCTAGAGAGTCTTGTGGGAAGAAACTCTATGCCCAATGCCTCTGCTGGAGACACACTCTCTGCATGGGATTCTTGGCCCCAGCAACTGCCTTACGGTGGGGGGGGGGGTCAGGAGGCTGGAGCAGAACCCACAGCCCCACTTCCTTGGGGACAAGTTCCACCCCAAAGAATGCCCCCCCAAAGCGCATTGCATTGAAGTCCCTGTGCAAGGACCCCTCTGCTACAGCCCTAAACCTTACTGGGCAGACTTAGGTGATGTTAGCAATTTGGGGGATCCAGGAAGTGTCTGCATGGCCGGGCTGGGGTTCAACCTCCTCTGGATCCTTGGATCCCGAAAGAAAGAATCCATTCTGCAGTGTGTGTGTGTGTGTGTGTGTTGGGGGGGGGGGAAACTGAGAAGCCAGAGAAAGTTTCTCGTCTTCGAAACAAGTCAGAATCAGAATAGAGCTGGAAGGGGACCTTAGAGGTCTTCTAGTCCAGCCCGCTGCTCAAGCAGCTATGCCATTTCAGACGAGTGGCTGTCCAGTCTCTCCTTAAGGGAAGAAAGCCGAGCGTTTTGGGGTAACGGGATTCAGGCCTGTGTTGTTCTCTCAAGCTCTGGGACCTCCTTTCGCCGGTGAGGTGACTTTGCAGCGAAGGCAACATGGGCACCACGGAAGCCACGCTGCGGATGGAAAACGTGGAGGTCAAGGAGGAGTGGCAGGATGAAGACTTCCCCAGGTTGGTACTCGCGGGGGGGGAGTGTTGCTGCCTCCCTCTCCCCAGAGGGTGGGGGGTGGGGGGAGGGGGCATTCCAGACAGGTGAGCGTTCCCGCTGGGCCCACCGTCCCTCGGGAGCAAAAAAAGGCATCTCCTTCGCCCTTGCAAGTCTCTCTGGCCAAGGATACTTTCTCTTCCCCCCCCCCCTTTCGTCTTCTGCTTGAGATGGACTCAATTTCGGTGCTCTCACCCCTCCATCCCTCAGAACCACGAGGACTAGAAACCTGGATTTGTTTAGGAAGAAAGGAGCGCTCTTGAAAGGCAGAGCACCCACTCGGTGTGTGGGCAGTTCAGTCCTTGGCACCCCCAAGGTTTGCTTGGCTTTGAAATAACGCGATGGTATTGGGAAAAATAATGTTTTTTTGAGGTACTGGATCGCTACCCGGTTTGTTGGTCACTGGAGAACATGTCTGGACAGGCAGGAGGGAAAGTTCTTGGCAGGGACGCTGCCCTGGACACTGGAGTTTCATAGGTAGGTAGGTAGGTAGATGGATGATGGATGGAGAGAGGCAGATGGACAGACATGGATGGATGGATAGATGATAGATTAGATAGATAGATAGATAGATAGATAGATAGATAGATAGATAGATAGAGGGATGAATGATGGATGGAGAGAGACAGACATGGACAGACAGATAAACGATGATAGATAGATAGATAGATAGATAGATAGATAGATAGATAGATAGATAGAGGGATGGATGATGGATGGAGAGAGACAGACATGGACAGACAGATAGACGATGATAGATAGATAGATAGATAGATAGATAGATAGATAGATAGATAGATAGATAGATAGCAGAGACATCACCCTGCCAACAAAAGTGCGTATAGTCCAGGCCATGGTTTTCCCAGTTGCAATGTGTGGCTGTGAAAGCTGGACCATAAGAAAGGCTAAGCGCAAAAAGAATGGAGGCCTTTGAACTCTGGTGCTGGAGAAGACTCCTGCGAGTCCCCTGGACTGCAAGGCGATCAAACCGGTCAGTCCTAGAAGAGATCAACCCCGACTGCTCTTTAGAAGACCAGATCCTGAAGCTGAAACTCAAGTCCTTTGGCCACCTAATGAGAAGGAAGGACTCCCTGGAGAAGAGCCTCATGCTGGGAAAGGTGGAGGGCAATAGAAGAATGGGACGACAGAGAATGAGATGGCTGGATGGAGTCACCAAAGCAGGAGGTGTGAGCTTAGATGGACTCCAGAAGTTGGTAGAGGACAGGAAGGCCTGGAGGAACATTGTCCATGGGGTCGTGATGGGTCGGACACGACTTCGCAACTAACAACAATGATAGATAGATAGATAGATAGATAGATAGATAGATAGATAGATAGGTAGGCAGATGATAGATAGATAGATAGATAGATAGATAGATAGATAGACAGACAGACAGACAGACAGACAGACAGATAGATAGATAGATAGATAGATAGATAGATAGATAGATAAAGGCAGGCAGGCATGCAAGCAGGCAGTTTGATCCAGTGGCTAAGGCACCAAACTAGAAAGCAGCAGACGGTGAGTTCTAATCCTACCTTAGATGGGAAACTCAGTTGGGTGACTTTGGGCCAATCACTGAGGAGACTGAGAATTCTAGTCCCGCCTTAGGCATGAAAGCCGACTGGGAAAGTCCTTCCCTCTCAGCCCAACCTACCTCACAAGGTTGTTGTGGGGAAAATAGGAGGAGGAAGGAGTGTTGTGTATGTTCACTACGTTGAGTCATTTGCACAAATAATAAAGGGGGGATACAGAGGAACGAACGAACGAATGAATGAACAAATGAATTTTGCTTATCACTTTGGCCAGAGCAGGGGCAGGCAACCTTGGCTCTTTTATGACTTGTGGACTTCAACTCCCAGAATTCCCGAGCCAGCATGGGGGAAACTTTGGCCCCTTCATGACTTGTGGACTTCAACTCCCAGAATTCCTCAACCAGCATAGGGGAACTATGGCCCCTTCATGGCTTGTAGACTTCAACTCCCAGAATTCCCCAGCCAGCCTGGCTCAGCTTGGAAACCTCTCCCTTTCCCCTCAGCATGGCTGGCTCAGGAATTCTGGGAGTTGAAGTCCACGAGTCATAAAAGAGCCAAGGTTGCCTACCCCTGGGCCAGAGGCTTCCGGCCACAGTCTCCAAAATGGCTGCCATAATCCATCCACGAATTTCAGCCCAAATATCCAGAGGTTGATCTGCACACATCCTGGCCGACAAAATTGCTGACGGCTATTGCAGGAAGCCAGATGTTTCCCAACTGGCTTCCCAATGCGGGAGAAGCTTTTTCTTTTTCTCCTGTTTTTTTTTTCCCGTTTGGGGACTGAATGGCTCCTCTTTCATGATCTATTTGGCTGCTGGCTTTTTTTTTTGGTGAAAAGGCCACCTCTGATTAATAACGAGGCTGGAAACGAATTGCTTGCAAGGTAGGAAATTTGCTTTCTGAAGTATTTGGGACTCCAGCTGAATTATTCTGCCCTTGTGAAGTGTTACGCCCTGTTACGGATAGTCCTCAACTTATAACCATTCATTTAGTGACCATTTGAAGTTAACAATGGCAGTTCAAAAAGGGAACACATGACTGGTTTTCACACTTAACAACCGTTGCAGTATAGTCACTTGATCAAAATTTGGGCGCTTGGCAACTGTCTCACGTTTACGACGGTTGCCGTGTCCTGGGGTCATGTGGTCCTTTGTTTGTAACCTTCCCAGCCGGCTTTCAACAAAGTTGCTTAACAGCGGAAAGTGGATTCGCTGAACAACTGTGTGTGTCGCTTAATGGTTGGAGTGCTTCCCTCAGCCACGGTGGCAAAACTCAGGTTGCAAATGAAGGCAAAACTCACTTAATGACTGCTGTGCTTAGCGAGGACTGCCTGCGTTGCTTATGCTTCCTTGTTTACTACCAAGAGTGTTTACACAATTGTCTTTTAGCTGTTGTGAGGATTTTTCCAATCGTTGGTTGGAATTCCAGGAAATTCAAAATTTGGGCACTTCGATAGGAATATCTATCTATCTATCTATCTATCTATCTATCTATCTATCTATCTATCTATCCATCTATCTATCCATCTCTCTATCTCGCTAGCTCTATCTCTCTATCTCTATGTATATGTATCTACCGGTACACATACATAACACACATATGATCTCTCTCTCTTTCTCTCTCCATCCATCCATCCATCCATCCATCCATCCATCCATCCATCCATCTATCTATCTATCTATCTATCTATCTATCTATCTATCTCTATGTATATGTATCTACTGGTATCCATACAAAACACACATATTATCTATCTATCTATCTATCTATCTATCTATCTATCTATCTATCCATCCATCCATCCATCCATCCATCTCTCTATCTCTCTATCTATGTATATGTATCTACCGGTACACATACATATGATCTCTCTCTCTCTCTCTCTCTCTCCATCCATCCATCCATCCATCCATCTATCTATCCATCCATCTGTATCTCGCTATCTCTATCTCTATCTCTCCCTCTCTCTCCATCCATCCATCCATCCATCCATCCATCCATCCATCCATCTATGTATATGTATCTACTGGTATACATACATAAGACACATATTGTCTGTCTGTCTGTCTGTCTGTCTGTCTGTCTGTCTATCTATCTATCTATCTATCTATCTATCTATCTATCTATCTATCTATCTATCTATCTATCTATCTATCTATCTATCTTAAGGAATGGCATACAATGAAACAGACCCCCCCATTGTCAGTCTAGTTGGCCGTTGGGCAACATTGACTGTATCAAAAAGGACTTTTTCAGCTCTGGCAGGACGCTTAGAGAAGATCCACAGTGAATCTGTGTTCTTTGGACAGGGGATTCTTTGTCTAGTGCAGCTGCCGGAGCCGACAGACAATTGAAGCAATCTGTGTGGGTTTTTTTTTCTGGATTTGAACACTGTCTCTGGACGTCACAGCTGCTGAGAGGGTTAGTCTGATGCCTGGATCCGCTCATCAATGACTTAGATGAGGGAACTCATCAAATCTGCAGATGACATTAAGCTGGGAGGAATAACCAATAGCCTTAGGTTTCCATCTAGTTCAGCAAGGCATTTGACAAAATAGACCATCAATGCTCCAACACTGGAAGTTTTTAAGAAGAGACTGGACAGCCATTTGTCCGAAATGATATAGTGTTTCCTGCCTGAGCAGGGGGTTGGACTGGATGACCTCCAAGGTCCCTTCCAACTTTACTATTATGATTATTATTATTAATTGGTTATGTCTAGTCTAGTCTAATGAAGACCACGGGTGACATGATAGCAGTGTTCCAATATCTCAGGGGCTGCCCCAAAGAAGAGGGAGTCAAGCTATCCTCCAAGGCGCCTGAAGGCAGGACAAGAAGCAACGGATGGAAACTCATCAAGGAGAGAAGCAACCTAGAACTAAGGAGAAACTTCCTGACAGTGAGAACAATTAATCAGTGGAACAGCCTGCCTCCAGAAGCAGTAAATGCTCCAACACTGGAAGTTTTTAAGAAGAGAATGGACAGCCATTTGTCCGAAATGGTGTAGGGTTTCCTGCCTGAGCAGGGGGTTGGACTAGATGACCTCCAAGGTCCCTTCCAACTTTACTACTACTACTACTACTACTAATTATTATTATCATTATTATTATTATTATTATTATTATTATTATTATTATTATTATTATTATTACCTACTTCTTGGTAAGCTAGAAAAAGGTGGGATAGATAGCATCACCATCAATGGATTTGTAACTGGCTGACAAACCTTACTCAGTGAGTAGTCCTCAATGGCACTACATCCACAGGGAGAGAAGTAAGCAGTGGGATACTACAAGGCTCTGTCTTAGGCCCAGGACTCCAATATCGTCATCAATGACTTAGATGAGGGAATTGAAGGGGAAATCATCAAATCTGCAGATGACACCAAACTGGCAGGAGTAGCCCACACCCCAGAAGATAAGCTCAGGAT